GGATATTCTATTGGGAAACGACTAAACAGATTGTGGCATGAATATAATGAAATGTCTTAAGAAGTGCCAAAATACACAGAGAATAGAGCACTGGCCTTGGAGTTAGGAGGACCTGAGTTCAAATCTAACCTCAGACATATAACACTCACTAGCCGTGTGACTCTGGGAAAGTCACTTAACCCCAAATGCCTCACCAAAAATAAAAGAAAAGAAAAGAAAGAAAGAAATGATGAAACAGAACGTTTCAAAGGCAACTGAGACCACTATGAACTGATGCAAAGGGAACAGAACTAGAACATTTTATACATTCTAGAGAAAAACAACTTTAAAAGCCTTAAGAATTCTGATCAATACAATGATAAACGAGTCCACAAGAATAAAGAGGAAACATGCCACTCACCTCCCAACACAGAAGTAAATGAACTTAAAATTCAGAAAGAGATATACTTTTTTCGGACATGGATAATGTGGGAATGTGTTTTGCCAGACTATGCAGACATGTATTAAGGGCTTTATTTTTTTAGTAGTTGGGTTTTTTGGGGTTTCTTTGTTTTTGATTTGCTCAGTTGGGAAAAGGGGTTGGTGGGAGGTACAGATTCATAAGAAACAACAAAGATTATCTATGCTATCACATGCCACATTCATTTCAATATAACTTATTGTTGGTGTAGTTGTGTCGCTCTGAATTAAACTCTGGTACTGAACCACATTACCAAAAAGGAATGGTGAAAATATACTATATCACTTTGCTACCAAAATAAAAAATTTAAACACAATACCTTGTTTGGGTAGAACTACTATTCACATTATTTTTATTGGAAATGAAATGAGAATATTTATTGAAAAAAATAATGCATTATGTGCACAAGATTTAAAATAGACAGGATTTGTAGTTTTAAATCATATTGTTAACACTTTTTCTGTATAACAAAATATAAAGAAAAAAGAAAACTGCTTGTTCTTATCCTTTGACCATTTGTCTTTTGAGGAATGGTTTTTAGTGTTATAAATTTGAATTAGTTCCTTATGTATCTTGGATAATTATCAAAAACTGTGCTGTAAAACATTTTCCCCATTACTTATAGAAGGGCATTCTGATTTTAAGGGTGTTAGATATTTGTACAAAAACTTTTAAAATTTTTATATAATCAAAATTGTCTATTGTATCTTCTGTGATCCTCTCTATCACTTCTTCAGTCATATTTAGTAATCAGTCTTCAGTCTTACCCTCTCCACAGATCTGAAAGGTATTTCTTTCTAAGTTGCTTATTATGTTGCTTTTACATCTAAAGTCATGTATGCATTTAATTTATCTTTTATAGATTGTGAGACGTTGGTTATATCTAATTTCTGCTGAACTGCCTTCCAGTTTTCCCAGTAGTTTTTATCAAACAGTCTTTACCTCAGGAAATGGAGTCTTTGGCTTTACTGAACACTAAACAAACAGAAAAAAGGGGGAAAAAATTCAAGCAATTAACAACTGGAAAACTGCACCAAAGAATTAATAAAAAGAAAATGCAAATTCAAGCAACTCTGATGTTCCACCTCAGATCTATCGGATTGGTGGAGCTGACAAAAAAAGAAAATGACAAACATTGGAGGATCTGCAGGAAAACAGGCACAAAATTGTTTTCAATAGTAAAAGAAATGTATTTTTCAAACCTTTACAGCTGTACTCTATATTCACACATTTGTAAGTGTAATGTAACACGTTTCTTATTCAGAAATTATTTATTTAAAAGAACATAGGCAAGTACCTAGAAGAAAAAGGTCCTTTGAGAAGTCTAGGGGCTGCAGGACATAGCAAAAAAAGCAATGGTCTAGGAGCCATAAGACCTAGCTTAGAATCCTGGTTCTACCAATCATCTTAGCTGTATCATAGTGCAGGTCATTTAACCTGTCCAAGCTTCAGTCTTTCCAGCTGCAAAAAAATAACAACTGCCCTGTCTATCACACGGTGTTATATTTAAAGGATAGGAATAGGGACTGAAATTATTTACTGGTATAAGGAACCTCCTGGATGAGGAAACTTTCCCTATCAATGCAGACTGACACCTTCTCTACAACTTACAATCTTAGAAAGCTGCTTTGTGCACCAAGAGATTAAGTGATTTACCAATGGTCACATAACCAGTACATGGTAGATAGAGGCTGGACTTGAACTCACGTGATGGAGCAGAAGCAGGATTTGAACCCTGATCTTCCTGGCTCATAAGCTAGCTTTCTATCCATCAAATCACGGTATAATAATACTCAAATGGGTATGTGATCTCATTTGGGTGTGCCCTCCAAGGAGGCTTGTTTGTTTCTCTTTTTTTGTTTCGATTTTTTTTTTGTTCATTTGTTTGTTTTTTTGACAGACCTGTGATTTCATTGGTATAGAGAACTCCTAGAGAGGAAACTCTCTACTACGGCAAGTCTTTTTGAATTTTGACTGACGAAAGTTACAAATATCCTATGACAAAGGTAAAAAATGTTATTCAGATTTTTAAAATGTGGCAAAATCTTTACACTGTAACTACATACTATAACTATATAACTATATACACTTTAACACTATACAATATAAATAACATTCAACCTGAGATTTGTTTAAAAGTTTTTTGTTTTTTTTAATCATCTGGAGTTTCCAGAGGTTAAGTGACTTGCCCAGAGGTCATAAACCAGGATGTGTTAGGCAGGACTTGAACTCAATCTTCCTGATTTGCTCTGTGTGGCAGAGCAGGCTAACAAACCCAACACATCTCAGAGAATTCTCAAGGCTTCACTATACTGCAGCACAATACAATATTGAATTCTCATACGAGTTTTAAATTACCTTAATAAATAGCCAAAACAATTACAAAGATTTTCCTGAAAAAGATTTAAAATAAAAAGTTCTAGCATTTAAAACAATAAATTTCATTCATCTGTAAAACAGACTTTATAGAGAATACTTTCATCCTCCCAATGAGGCAGATAAACAAGATGTGATATAGTGAAAAGTGTGCTAGATTTGGAGTCAAAGAACTTGAAGTTCAAATCTCAGCTCTTATCTGCCTGGGTTTGTGACCTTGGGCAAGCTACTTTTCTGGGCCTTAGTTTCCTCATCTGTAAAAAAGGGGACTAGATAAGATGGTCTCTAAGGTCCCTCCCAGCTCTAAAACTATTATTTATGCTACTTAAATATTTATAGGCTTAGTGAATGGTAACAGTGAGAAGGTGGCTTACAGATCATTTTATCCTCATTTTACAAAGAGGAAGCTGAGGCCTAGCCAGGCCAAGAAACTGAGCCCAAGACCACACAGCAAATTAGAGGGAAAATCATGACTAAAATCCTGACTTAAAGCCCAGTGTTCTTTCCAATAACAAAACTGGTAGGTGTAACCATAACCCCAAGGGAAAAATCACTGGAGCTCAGACTAAATCAAACAATTCTATAACATACACCCTGCAATACACTCCTGTCATATCTTTACCTTTCTTCCCTTCTGACCTGTAATTCATGCCAGGCTCACAGTCTTACATTTATTGGGCCATTGGTCTTGCCATATTTATTTAATTACTATATATTTTTCAAATAATATTCACTGTCTTGTTTTCACAACTTAGTATACAAAACATGAATTTTTATCTCAGTTTTACCACAATGCATTAGTCAAATAACTTGTCCAGTGTAACACTGCTAGTTAGTGGCAGGGCTAAAACTAGAACCCACATGTTATTTATCCAACAACCACAGGCAAGAACTTAGATTATCTAAAAGATTTGTGATTTCCGAAGTGTGAGGAATATTAAGCCCAGTAATCTACACACTACCCCAAGTTAGCTCTCTATGTACAAAAACCTAGAAGAAAAAGTCTCTGAACTGTCAAGAGGTGGTTTTTCTTCCGATATATCATAGTGCCTACTTCAAATAACACCTTACCAGAGAAGCTCTGCCTATGTTAATCTTAAATTAAGATTTTCAGGTTTAATCTTAGTTTATGTAGATGTTACTCAGTCTAGAAAAGAAAAGTGGTATTTCTGAAAGATTCAAGACACTTGAATTCTATTTTTGAGGCAAGTCACTAAAGCTTTCCAGTCGGTTTCCTTACAGGGATTGGGTTGGAATATTTATAATATTCCTCCTACCTCTGAAATGATTTTAATGCTTTCGTTTAAAGCAATAAACTTCATTCATCCGGAACTTATATTCTGTAGTATGACTAAGTAACAGGTGAAGATATTCCTTTATATAAGAGAATATTTCCCATCCATTACAATATATACAATTTGCTTTTTTAAAAATCTTAGAAAAGGTTGGTCCTCCTAAACAGAGGATCTGGGGGGGTGGGGGGTAGCACTGGTTGGTGAGTTTCCAGGATTGTTTCCAGGATGGTTTCAAGAGCCAGTGAAAATGAACAAAGGGTATTTTACCTCACGTATCCCCCATCCCGGGCAGATGCAAAGTGGTTCAGAGTTGATCCAATCTGAAACCGAAGGCCTGCACAGCTCAGGGTCAACAAATGACTAGATTGGCTTCCTGCGGTCGCCTCACAGAGAAGTACACTTTAACCCTCCCCCCGGAAAGTGTCAAGGTAAAAGGAATACAAATACCCGCCCTTCGGGGCACGGAGCTCAGCTCCATCAATGGGCAGCGAAGCCCTCCCTCCCTCCGGACGTGGCAGCAGGCCGGGGCCGGGCCCCCTCCCGGCTCCCCCAGCGCCGGGCCGAGCGCCTGGCGTTCCCGTCTAAGGGATGCCGGCGTGGTTGGTCGTTAACGTCCGACAGAAGCTCCGAGGGCAGCCTCGGCTCAGCTCTCCCAGCCAGGTCCGCTCCGGGCCCCTGAGGGTTGGTCACCAGCCCCGTGGCTGGGGGAAGAAGGACAAGCAGCCGCCACAAAGCTGCCCCGCGGCACTCACCCCTCATCCTCCCTGTACCTAACCTCGCCGAGCGATCCACGGACCAGCCCCGACCCAACGCGACCTCGCCCCTTCCATCATACCCGCGTCCGCACAACTGCCGGCGCCGCAGCTCACCTGGTTGCGAGGCGTCAAATCCGCATCCGGCTTCCGCTTGAGCTCCGGCTTCCCCTCCTCGCGCCTCTCCCGCGCCCCCGGCGGCGCCGTCGCGGCCCAGACGTGGCAGCGGTAGTGCCCCCGCCCCCTGACGCATGGGCCGAGCGGAGGGCAGTGTCCTGACGGAACCGGAGCTGATGAGCCTGACCCGAGGGAGGGAGAGAGCAGGGGAGGGGGGAAAGAAAAATAACGCCGTGTTCTGCCGCCCACGCTGGGACTGCGTCAGACCGTGGGCCTCAGACTTAGACTCATCACCTGGAAACGACTCCACCTCTTCTCTCATCTCCGAGAATTTCATCAGCTTTGGTATTGTGTATTCATCCCAGGAATAAACTAACTCTGGAGTGTTTTCGTAGTGGTATGAGTGATGAATAGGAAGCACACAAGTAACAGATTGTTTTTGCTTCTACAGGGCTATTTTCATTTCCCAGGATTTAGAGCTGGCAAAGAGTCTTGGAAATCATTCTCTCTAATGCTCCTATTTTACAGATGAATAATAAAGAGTTCTAGAACGACGTGATTTAGCCCAAGTCACATAAGTAGGGAGGTTTTCCTTAACACTGTGGTACGACTCTGTTGTTTCTCCTTTGCATTATTTTTGGCTCTATTCTATACTTAAGCTACAAATGGTACAAAAGAGCATTGGATTTCGGAAAAGTTCCAGCTTTCCAACTTACCATACTACTTGTATGACTGAACAACTTTCACATAACTTCTCCTGGCCTCAGTTGCTTCCGTCTGTGGACCTCAAAGGATTGTGAGAAAAGTAAAAGTGTATTCAGTCAATTCAGCAACAATTATTAAATGATTATGTGCAAGGTACAGTTTTAGGGCAGTAAGATAAGAGGTAAAAGACCCTGTTCTCAAGAAGTTTAAAATGTAATTGGGAGAAAGGGGTCAGGAGGAAGAAAACAAGTACTCGCTGGTCCCTGCCACCATCATGTAGGGAATTAATTTCTTTACAGAACAGACTAGTAGTCATCCCCAAGAACTACCAGCTGCCACATATGTGGCAGACAGGCCAATCTAGCTGAAGCAGCAAGGTGCTACTACCATGTCTTTTCAGACTTAGGAGGCCATAGCCCAGGACACTAAACCTAAGAGCCCTGGGAATAGTAGTGGTCAAACACTATCCATAACTGTCACAGAATGGAAAAGTCATGGTAAAGAAGGGTCTCCCTTGCTTTACCATCACCAACACCAACTGATGACCACCTGTAATCATCAAGCAGGGAAGCCCTAGAGCTCTAGGAATGGCAACACTTCCCAGACCCCCAGTCCAACTTCCCATACAATCCCCACAGTCACAATCCTGGGAAGTGTGATTTATAAAAAGTTTGAGAGGCATAGTTTCTGGGCAATTAATCATTTTTTAATCATACTAGTAGATAAATAATAAAAGAGGTCAGTGGTACTCTGTAATGCCAGAGACCCCTCAACACTTATATGCCCTGGGAAGAGTGGGAATTCTTGAGGGTGACAACTCTGATTGATTAACAATTAATGAAAAGAATGAATATTATAATGAGAAGTGGGGTTATTCCAATGAGGGGTTGGGGGACAGGACTCTGATCACTCAGTGTTGGACAAAGAGACTTGTCTCTTATCCAGACTACCCCCAGCTAGGGCAATGTAGACAAAAGGGGATCCACCTTTGTTCAGACCTGGCTGATTAGAACACAGTGGGCTAGAATTCACCTTAGGTTAAATTCTTTGGTTCTCTACTTGGGTGGGGTCATCCCACCCAGGATGAAAAGGCATGTACCTGGAGATTTGGGCAATCTCATTCATCAACAATGTCCTTAAGATGCTGGGTTGGCCGAGTACATAATGAGGATCTAGGAAGGGAAAAAAAAAACCTAGATGTCCCCAATAATTAATTATTTAATAATCATTACTCTCAGAAGCAACCTGTGGAGATACAACCCAGCAGCTGTTTCTGTGGATGCTCCTGCCCCTGCTCCCCCTGCAGCCACAGCTACTGAAAAACTAGAAAAGAAAGTTCTCACCACCAAAGACAGCATAGCATTGTCAAATGGTTCACCATCAGAAAAGGACATGGTTATCAATAGAAATGGTATTGAAGAAAATGCATGGCCATCTTCTTTGCCACTGCACCCAAAGAGTCATGGAGCCTTTCCATGTGACTTTTAAGCTGAAACTTCTTTGTGTTGTCTCCTTTAGACTGTGAGTTCCTTAAGAGCAAGAATCGTCTTGATTTTCTGTTTGTATCCTCAGTGCTTAGCACAGAGTTTTACAATTAGTAAGTGCTTAATAAATGGTTTGTCAGTCAGTTATTTAGTCAGTCATTCAAGATTGAAACAAAATGTGACACATGTAGACTATATAGGATATAATAAAAGAAGTTTGTGTAACATCATGAAAAGGACATTTGACTAGGATATATGTCTGGTTCTGAAGAATGCAGCTCCTCTGATCCACATAGGGAGGAGGGTGAGTTGGCTTGCACAGCAACAGGAAGTCCATCAAGTCTGAGGGTCTGATTCCTTATATACTGGAATTTTGATGCCTTAGGTGACCAGGAAGCTGTTTCAGTTGTATGAGCTTTAGTTCCCTAGAACAATTAATACTTGAGGATGGTTTCATTGCCAATTTAGGGAAAGACTAGTCTAGCCTTTGTTGCTATGGCCTTGGTGGATGTTGTGAAACTAACCTGGCCCATGTGTAAGAGATGCTGCTCCTACTACATCCCATTCCCTGGTGGCAAGGTTCTAAAAAGTCTTCCATGGGGCTTTATACCATTTAATTGGCCTTAAGTCTATTACTGGACAATTCTGAAGGATTAAAAAAGCCCTGTGTAGGCAGTACTTAAGTAATAGCTTAGGGCAGGCAAACAGATGAACAGAAAGCAAAGACTCCGAGAAATATAATGGCCCCTTAAAGTAGTACCATACCAAAATGGAGACGAATGAAGGCCAGAATTCTTAGGTTTAACTCCCACCTTGCGAGGAATTGACTTCCAGATCTTAAAATTTTGGTTTGTGTGATGGATGTTGCCAGATATTTGAAATTCACAGTGGGTTTATTGATATAAATCAATGATGAGGGCTTCAACCAAAAGGATACTTCTGGCAAAGTTACTGACCCTTGTCACAAGTCAGGGACATCTGGCTAGGATGTCATTGTGATCTTAAATATTTGTATCATAAAAAGACAAGTATTTTTCAATAATAATTCAAAAATGGGAATTTCCTGGGTTTTTTTTTTTTCAAATAGCTTTTGAAGCATTAAAGTTAATTGTTCTTTATTTGATAGAATTCATTTGTAAATCCATCTCATGCTAGACTTTTTTCCCTCCACTGGAAGCTTACTTATGGCTTGTTCAATTTTCTGAAATTATGTTATTTAAATCCTCTATTTCTTGTTCTGGGCATTTTATGTTTTTATATATATTGTGGAGGAAATTCTGATTTTTATAATAATCAATGTGATATGCATTATTAATATATTAATAGATTAGATTTTGCAGAATTGCTTTTCCCAGCCTGTGAGTCAGACTCACAATGCAGCTTGAACTGATCAACCAAACCTTGACAAGGCTCACAATCACTGGCATCCTTCTGCTTGCATACCTAAAGTGAAGGGAATCAAAGACTATAGAGCCTGTTCCCATCATGGAACTCTGGTCCTGTGACCCACTGAGTAACAACCCCCAAGGACTCCAAAGTTGTTGTGTTGTCATCCATTTGTGGGCTTGTCATGGGAAACCACTCTGGCCCTGGGAACTATTGTTTGTAATCCACCTTCCCCCCTCCCTTGCCACTTGTGATTTAAGTATGATATCTCTGCCTTCACTTCAGCAAGGTGGAATTCTGATCAGGACAATTCCTGATTTGCAAATCTGTTCCTCATAATTAATTAAATGGCTACCTGATTGCTGGCACTTTGTCTCTGGCCTGCTGCTTCATCAGTCTCAGGTTAGAGACTGGCTCAGTAAAATCCAGTTAACAATATCCTTCCATTTAATTTAGATCATCATTGATATGTAATTGTGTGAAATTGTTTCTACTAATTTCTTTTCTTCATTGATTGTGAATTCAGCTTTTTTTATTTTTGATACTAGTCATTCATTTATTTTAGAATTTGATTTTTTTTAAATCAAATTTACTCTTTCTAGTCATGTGATCAACAAGATGAAGGACTACACATATTCTTTCATCCTTTCTGACCTTTAAAAGTTCTCCAAAACAGAAATTATGCAGCAAAAATAAAGCAACCTTTAAATGTTTCTGTGATTTAGGACAGCCAGAATCCAAAAGAGGGTAAAAACAAAAAGAACTCATGAACCAGCTTCTACACTGAGCTCTCTCTGCACCTCTCCCCCACCTCCCATGCTACTGGCATCAAGGCTGTAGTTAGGTAACCCAAGAACCTGACACACAAGGTCACAACAAAACGCAGCCCCATGCTGAGTCCCTAGGTACAGAAATTTGCTCAGGCAATGAGAGCTAACAAGTGTTATGGTAGTACTCCTAGTGCAGAAGTTTCCTCCAGCTCTGAGAGTTAGCCAGCATCAGCATCATGGTAGTATTCCAAGAACAGAAACTTGCTGGGAGGATAGCAATCTATGTTGCAAAAGACCGTGGTAGTAGAGCCAAAAACAGAGAGAAAGGGGCAAGATGTGTGTCTGCGCTTGAAATAGAACTCCATAGTTGACATTCTCCTCCCAGAGGCTGAGACCCAAAGTATAGAAACCAACTGTGTAGTACCATCAGGGCAACTCTGTGAACTGCCAGTACTGGGTCAGAAAACTGAGAAAAAGAGTGGGATAGGCCACTGGAACAGGTTGTGTGAGTGGGACATGGGGGGGGGGTGGAAGCAGAGTATGAGGCATTCCACTAAACCTGAGGGAAAGAACTCAGCATCCATCTCAGCCAGTTCTGGCACTCCAAAAGTCACTTGGAGCAGAGACCTAGGCTGATGAACCATGAATTGTAGCAGAAATTAGAGATGCACTGAAATCCAGCCCCAGGGAAACCAGCATCAGATGGGAGGGTGTCAGAAAGTGAGCAATAG